CCTGAATTTCAGAATGACCTGATCCGATCCAACCCAGAAAAAACTAGGTTGGGCCATGGGTTAACCCGCTAACCCGATTGTTAGGTCTAATTGGGACTATTTATGTATTGTTAGAAATTTCCACTCTTTAATCTTTGCTATTTAGTGTTTACTCTTATTGTTTACTCTTTGAATTGTTAAATGTTCAAGTTTTTTATTTTATTTTTGGAATTTTAATATTAATTCCTTTAATTTTGGCATTTTCTTGTATTTTTTTTTTGAATTTTAGTTATTTTTTTGGATGACCCGAATTGACCCATGGGTGAACCCTAACCCAAACATTTAGGGCTAGGGTCTAGCATTTGCCAGCCCAACCCGAAATCAACCCGAAGTGTCTTGACCCAACCCGAACCTGATCCACCCACCCAACCCCATTGCCAGGTCTAATTAGGATGAATGAATGAACAACATTACCAATTAGGAGGTTCTCGAAGCTTTGGTGAGCGACTGAAAAAAAAAACAAAAAAGTGTACAAATTTAAGAAGGCACACGCTTGGGCTAAGGTGCAAGGTGCATCACTTTTGAAAGTGATGTGCCTAGGACCTAAGCGAGGTGCATACCCTAAAATGTGCCTCCCTCTACGCCTAGGTGCGCCTTTTAAATCATTGTGCTGATCCGATGAATATTTGGCCAAAATTAGATGGGTTGCAATTTGATGGTTTCTCAGAGGAACATGCGGCAGACTTGGAAAAGCCTTTCTTTGAGGAAGTCAAAGCAGTTTTGGATGAAATGGAGGGGTACAGAGACCTAGGGCCAGATAGCTTCACAATTATATTCTACAAGAAATATTAGGAACTGGTGAAGGAGGATTTGCTAAAGGTTTTAAATGTATTTCACTCTTCAGCAGCTTTGGAGAGAAGGCTCAATGCTGCTTTCATTTCTCTAATATGAAAGAAGAAAGGTGTTGCTGAGTTGAAAGACTTTTCAGGCTAATAAGCTTAATTGGCAGTGTCCACAAAATCATAGCAAAATTGTTGGCATCAAGGTTGAGAACAGTGATGAGTTCAATCATTTCAATCTCTCACGGGGCTTTTATTCACAATAAACATATCCAAGATGCGGTCCTAATAGCTAATGAGTAAATAGATTCAAGGAGAACCAATGGCATGACAGGTATAGTTTGTAAAATTGAACTTTGGGAAAGCCTATGACCATGTAAATTGGGCTTTCCTAGATTATATGTTGGCCAGGATGCATTTTGGGAAAAAGTGGAGAAATTGGATGAAGGTCTGCGTCCAAGTTCTCGATTATTTTAAATGGTCTAGCAAAAAGAAACTTTAAGAGCTTTAGGTGACTGAGGCAAGGTGACCTCCTCTCACATTTCTTATTTCTCATTGTGATGGAAAATTTAAGCAAGATGACTGCTAGAGCTGTAGAAAGAGGTTGTTTGGAGGGCTTTGCTGTCAACAGCTTAGGTGAGGACATTCCCCTCCTCCAATTTGCCGATGAGTGTTGATACTCTATTTTTTTGTGATGCTAAAGCCGAACAAGTGATACACCTAAGATACTTGTCAGTATGGTTTGAGGTGGTTTCAGGACTGAAGGTAAGTCTTGCTAAAAGTGAGATGATGGCAGTAAGAGAAGTGGAAAATTTACAAGAGTTGGGAGACCTGTTGGGTTGCTAAAAGTGAGATGATGGCAGTATTTGAGACTACCACTAGTGGCAAATGTACCTGAAAAGGCGTATGGGCTTAGGTGGTGGAGAATGTGAACAACAAATTGGCTTCTTGGACCTTGGTCCCTAAAGCATATTCTAAAGGAAGTAGAAATAGTGGCTGAATTTTAATGGGTTAGGATTGCAAATGGTTTAGCTGACACCTTACTAAGCAAGGCGCTATGAGGCAAGGACTGTTTTGGGTATCCTTGTAATTTGGAATAGCAAATTGGGCTAAAACGTTTTATATCTTTTCTTCTTTCCAAAGTTTTAATAAAATCAATTTTCTACTGATCAAAGGGGGGGGGG